TATATATATATATATATATATATATATATATATATATATATATATATATATATATATATATATATATATATATATATATATATATATATATATATATATATATATATATATATACATATATATGGTCGGTTTGATGCTGATATAGAAGAATGGTCGACTTGATGCTGATATATAAGTATGGTTACCTTGATGTTGATATATTTATATATATATATATATATATATATATATATATATATATATATATATATATATATATATATATATATATATATATATGGTCGGTTTGATGCTGATATAGAAGAATGGTCGACTTGATGTTTATATATAGATATGGTCGACTTATGTTGATATATAAATACTCACCTAATTGTACTCATCTAATTGTGCTTGCGGTGGTTGAGCTTTGTCTCTCTGGTCCCGCCTCTGAACTGTCAATCCACTGGTGTACAGATTCATGAGCCTACTGGGCTCTATCATATCTACGTTTGAAACTGTTTATGGAGGCAGCCTCCACCACATCACTGCCTAGTGCATTCCATTTATTAACTACTCTGACACTGAAAAAAATCTTTCTACCGTCTCTGTGGCTCATCTGGTTATTAAGTTTCAACCTGTGTCCCCTTGTTCGTGTCCCACCCGTGCTGAAGAGCTTGTCTTTGTCCACCCTGTCAATTCCCCTGAGAATTTTGTATGTGGTTATCATGTCTCCCCTTATTCTTCTGCTTTCCACTGACGTGAGGTTCAGCTACTTTATCCTTTCCTCGTAGCTCATACCTCTCAGTTCTGGGACGAGCCTGGTGGCATACCGCGGAATCTTCTCTAACTTTGTCTTGTGTTTAACTAGGTATGGACTCCAGGCTGGAGCTACATATTCCAGGATTGGTCTGACATGAGTGGAGTACGGTCGACATGATGTTGATATAAAAGTATGGTCGACTTGAAGTCGATTAGTATGGTCGACTTCATGCTGATAAGTATGGTCGACTTCATGCTGATAAGTATGGTCGACTTCATGCTGATAAGTATGGTCGACGTGATGATGATAAGTATTGTCGACTTGATGTTGATATACAAGTATGGTCGACTTGATGCTAATATAGAAGAATGGTCGACTTGATGTTGATATATAAATATTATCGACTTTATTCTGATATATAAATATTGAAGACTTGATGCTGATATATAAGTATTGTCGACTTGGTGCTGATATATAAGTATGATCGACTTGATGCTGGTTAGTATGGTCGACTTGATGCTGATATAAAAGTATGGTCGACTTGATGCTGATATAAAAGTATGGTCGACTTGATGCTGATATATAAGTATGATCGACTTGATGCTGGTTAGTATGGTCGACTTGATGCTGATATAAAAGTATGGTCGACTTGATGCTGATATATAAAAATGGTCAACTTGATGTTGATATATATATATGGTCGACTTGATTCTGATATATAATTATGGCAACTTGATGCTGATATATAAGTATGGTCGACTTGATGCTGATAAGTATGGTCGACGTGATGATGATATACAAGTATGGTCGACTTGATGCTGATATAGAAGAATGATCGACTTGATGTTGATATATAAGTATGGTCGATTTGATGCTTAAATAAGTATGGTCGCCCTGCTAGTAATATATAATTATGTTGGACCTAATGCTTAAATATAAGTATGATCGACTTGAAGCTAACTTATAAATGTGGTTGACTTGATACTGATATATAAGTATGGTCAACTTGGTGCTGATATATAAATATCGTCGATCTGAAGATGATGTATAAGTATGGTCGGCCTGATGCTAATATATAAGTATGGTCGACCTGATGCTTATATATAAGTATGGTCGACCTGATGCTTATATATAAGTATGGTCGACTTGATGCTTATATATAAGTATGATCGACCTGATGCTATTAAATTACTATGATAATATACTCTATTACCCTAAATAGGTAAGAGCATCACAGTGCAGCACCTTATGAATGAACCTATATCTCAGTATTGTATAATTAGTATTTGTATCCAAACCGACCAGTATGAAAGAACTGCGTGTAACAGTGTTATATTATTTTAATATATTAGTATCTAGTATATAAGCTTTTAATCGAATTCTTTTCCCCATACCACTCTTACACATAACTCACAATACGGCTCCCTGGCTCACTTAATAATTCTTGACACCATCTCAAGGGTAGAGCAGCTTCACGACCTTGCACCAAACTAAACATTGATGTATAGTCGTTTGTGTAGGGCAACAACGACCCCTGACGCAAGATTACGTATCATAGTGAAAGAGATCATTACTTCATGTTATTATCTTAGCCATTGGCGTACCGATATCTTGTTGTTGACTCTTTGGGTAACTTAACGTGGGCTATTGCAAGCGCAAGGTGCAACCGAAAGTCCTGTGTGAGAACCCAGTCATTACACCCGAAGCATGCTCAGCGTTTAGCATTTAGACCCATAGAATGCTTATCATTTACTACACTGACCCACGGTATGTATAACATTTACCATACAAATCCATTGCATGTTGAACATTTACCATACAGACAGATAGCATATGCTGATGAACAAATCCACAGGGGCCGTTATGAGGGTTCGAACCTACGTCCGGGATTATCCCAGAAGCACCTTAGTCCACTGTGCCACGACATGGTAAAAGAATTTAGAAGGTGTATTGAAGTAAGGGCGAAGAAGTAGAACATTTGGTTAACAGAGCCCGGGTGCATGAGGGAATTGTGTAAAACCCCGGTCTGTGCTTCACAGAAGCTGGGGGAGCCTTGTGAGGTCAGTAGCACTCCAGGTTGCAATTATTTTACCATGTTGTTGCGCAGTCGAATAATGCACGTCTGTGATCATCCCGGAGGTTGGTTCGAACTCTCATCACGGGCCTTGTGGATTTGTTCATTTGATGCATCACGCTGTTGTGATTTCTGTGTGCATATGCTGATCATTTAGTATGGAGACCCATAGCATCGTTTATCATACAGACCCTTAGCATGTTGATTGTTTACTTTGCAGACCCATGGCATGCTCAGCATTTATCATATATATACCCAATCACGTTATAAGCATTTACCCTAAATCCATGGTATTCTCAGCATTTACCGTACAGACCTCATGACATGCTGCTGAGCGTTTACAATATAGACCTAATCATATGCCGAGCATTTACCGTAGACCCCATGACATGCTGAGCTATTATGTAACTAGTGTAATGAGACTAAGGTGGAGATAAAGAGATTTCGTGAATCTGTGTTGCACGGGAATTCCATCAACCTTTATTCAGTAAGCATAGTGCCCCATCGACGTTAATCCAAGTACCACATTGTCCCATCTGCATTTATCCAAATATCATAGTGCCCTATCTGCCTTCATCCAAGCAGCCCAGTGCCTCATCAGCCTTTATCTCTGGTCACGGTGCATCATCCCATTATATATGGGAATCACAGTGCATATCCGGCCTTATCTAAGTAGCACAGTACTCCATTGGCATTTATCTAACTAGCTCGATGAACCATCGACTTTTATCCAATTAACACAAAGCCTCATTGGTCTTTTAACAAATGACACAGTGATCAATCGAATTTTACCCTAGTAGCACAGCTCTCGGACCTGCTCTGTTCCGGACATGTAAAGAATCACCCGGAGTGAATATACTTGTTCCTCTCAATGTTTGCTTTTGAAGCTAACGTAGGAGTCTGTAGCACAGTATTTACAGAATCACTTGGCAACGTTTCCTATCACTTGAGGCTTCTGTTCACCAAGCAGTAAATAGGTATAGGAGGAGGAGGTAAATAGTTACACGAGAATTAGGCAGCTATTATGGATTTCATCCGGTAGGAGGTCAGTATTTGGGGACCTGGATAATCCTACTCTTGTTCCAGACTACCATAAGGTGGACAAAATGTGTATACCATAAAGTGGACCAAATGTGACTGCTGAGTCGAGCTTTTATCTAGTCAAAGATAAGACGAGGTTGGAGCAAGTTCAGAGGTATGTCACTTCAGAGGTCTCAGAACTAAGAATATATGAGTAATTAATCTTCACTTCTCTGGAAGACAGAGGAGTTAGGGGAGAAATGTTTAGCAGACAAAAATTTTCCATGGGGGGGAATTAACAGGACAGATACAAACGATATTGAACAAATGGGATAAATGTAGAAGTGATATGATATGATGTGATAAACCTCAATATGATAAGGTATCTGTGCAACAGGTGATTAAAGTTAAGGAGCAAGTACTTATCCAAATATAAGTCGAAGTCCGTCCATAAATAGCTTAATTTGGAATTGCAAATTAAGTGAGTACAGTGCCTGACAGACTCTATTACCCAATTACTCTAAATAGGTAAGAACATCACAGAGCAGCACCCCATGGACCTCTATGTCAGTATTGTATAATGAGTATTTGTATCCAAACCGATCAATATACAATGTGCACTTCATTTTATGCAAAACAAAAAATCTATAAGGATTCCTATTTCATACTATTTGACAACATTATGAAACTCTTAATTTGGTGTGGTGGCGAGTGCGACTATCAATATGCTTACTTAATGTGTAACATATGCTTGTGCCCATGTCTAGTGTCATCAATATGCTCACTAAATGTATAACACATGCTTAGCACATTTCTATGACATCAATATGCTCACTAAAGATAACAGATCTGCTCACACTCATGTGTAGTGCCATCAATATGCTTAATAAAGGTACATCACATGCCCATACACATGTTGATATATGTCATCAATATAGTTGATTGACACTAAACATGTGCCATAAAAATATAATATCTGGTAGAAAACTTTTCATACAACTGTAAACTAGTAGTATTCGCCTCTCTTTCCCTGTCTCGTCTCCTGCACTCCTTCCTAATCGCATCTCATTACCTTTTTCATATCCCATCTCAATATATATATTCTTGCCCATCACCTATCCTATTCTCCTTCCCACCCATTCTCTTACCCAGTTCCCCACCACTTACCATTTTGGTGATGGGGTTCCAACGGTGTTCGCAGACCCAGCCGCCCCCACAGGAGCCATCACCGTTGATGGTGACACTGTCAGTGGACCCTCCATTGTTGCTGCCTGGCGGGCCCTGGTCTGAGTTGTCAAAGTAGTAACTACTCATGATGCGTGTGAAGCCATAGTCGTAGGCCAGGGCGAAGGACACGCCCATCTTGTACTCCTTCGGCTGTGATCATAACGTTAGTGGGTATTAATCAAAAGCTCTGGATAAGCTACTCACACATCGCCAGCATACCATGTCTAGTTTATACATTGATGAATTTGTTCATATTTTCTGGGATATATTAGGAAATAACTGTGCTTCAGAAGCACAGTTATTCAAAGGGAGGGAATTATAAGGAGAAAGCGCCGAAACATTACAACTCTATAACAATGGGAAGGTCAGGATAAGAATTTTTCGATAGGACGTGGGGGGGGGGGGGGGGAAGAAATGGTGCCCTACAACTTGGACGGTCGGGGATTAAACGCCGACCTGCATGAAGTGAGACCGTTGCTCTACCGTCCAGCCCAAGTGGTTGGTATTGAGAACTAATTAATAAAATCTGTTTATATTGGTCAGAAGGGATATGAATGTAATTAATTTAAATTTTATTATTTCAATATGTCATGATAGTGCAAACATCATTCTTTCTGAAGAGAAGTGTAATATTGGGTTGCTGCTCTTCCAGACATTACGTGGTGTGATTTAGCTCCGGATCCCTGCTATGATGTACGAACTACCACATCAATATATCAGTTATTTTTGTTGTGTAATCATCTCATTAATTTCTATGTATTCCCTAGTGTGTGATGATCCACTCTCATCATTACTACCCCCTGGTGTGTGATGATCCACTCTGTTACTACCTCCCCTAGTGTATGATGATTCACTCTGTTACTACTCCCCTGGTGTGTGATGATCCACTCTCGTCATTACTACCCCCTGGTGTGTGATGATTCACTCTGTTACTACCTTCCCCTAGTGTATGATGATTCACTCTATTACTACTCTCCTGGTGTGTGATGATCCACTCTGTTACTACCTCCCCCTAGTGTATGATGATTCACTCTGTTACTACTCCCCTGGTGTGTGATGATTCACTCTGTTACTACTCCCCTGGTGTGTGATGATCCACTCTATTACTACCCCCCTGGTGTGTGATGATCCACTCGGTTACTACCTCCTGGTGTGGGATGATCCACACTCACTATTACTGCCCCCTTTGTCTGTGATGAACCACTAGAACAATTACAGCCCCCTAGTGTGTGATGATCCACTCTCGTTATTACTAACGCTGTTGTGTGAGGATCTACTCTCATTATTACTATCCCCTGATGTGTGATGATCCACTCTAAGTAAATATTTACCAAAAAATAGTATACCTAAGAATGCATATACTGTGCGGTTCGTAATTGTTTAGTCATTTAAATTATTTCTGTGTCAGTTTTTCTGTTTAAACTCTCCCTCCCCCCACCTCTCTTTACATGTCAGCTGTGAATTCCCCCAGCCCTTCATGTCAGATGTGAGCTCCACCACATGTCAGCTGTGACTTTCACCACTTGTCAGCATCTTGACCATCACGACCGGACATAAGGAAGTGATAGCCGAAGCTATTTGAACCACTTTCTCGCCGGCACTCGGATGGTAATCTTGGGCATAGCATTTTAACAAATCACCTCATTCTTTGGAGCACACGTGAGGAACACAAATGCAAAAAAGCATCAATGGTTCCCAGGACTATATGCAACTGTGCCGAGTTGCATATAGACTATATCAGAGTGCCGGCGGGGAAGTGGTTCAAATAGCTTCGGCTATCACTTCCATATGTTCGGTCGTGATGGTCAAGCGGATTAAGGCGTCCTGTACATACCAGTTGCGTTGCTAATGGCAGTATGGGTTCGAGTCGCTTCTGGGGTGTGAGTTTTCAGTTTATATATATATATATATATATATATATATATATATATATATATATATATATATATATATATATATATATATATATATATATTGACAGTATTTACATCCGTATGTATTGATCCGTGTTGGAATTTTAGCCTCTTCATGTATCACATATTCCCTACGCGTGCTAGGGGAATTGGATATTATTAAAATACTCTTAATTAAAGTAGTTATATCTACTACTTGGTTAGGCAGCCTTCGCTAGCGACGACAGCCTGAGGTCTGCGACCCATAGACATTCCCAGACGCTGGATGTCTTCCCTGGCGATGCTTCGTCAGGCTTCTACTGCAGCCATCTTCAGGTCCTGCTTGTTTCGGGGACTTTCCCGCCAGTATTGTCTTCAGCAAGCGGAACACAAGCGGGATTGGATTCATATCAGGTAATTAACAGCCAATCAAGGCCATTTAACTTTTCAGCCTTGATAAACTTTTGCTTGCTTCAGTATAATAGAGCTCATCGGGAAGTGGTTCACCATACAGCAGGTCTGCGAGCCCAAACTATGAGATAAGTTTGGGGTCGCAGTCCTGCTGTATGGTGAACCTCTTCCCGATGAGCTCTGAGGCATTTCTTTTGATATGTGCTGATAGGATGTTTGTGTACAGCGCAGCAGTCTTCCTGCTGCTGTCATCGGCAGTCACACCATCAATAAATTCAAATGAGACAGTTCCAGTGACCGCCATACATGTCCAATCAATGACCCAACCCACACCATGTGTCACAGTCCAAGTGGTATGCTATAAATCATCCGCAGTTCATTCCTGTATACACATTCCTCTTTTCATCATTCTGCTCCAGGTTAGTCTGCATTCCATCTCTCCATAAGGCTTCGTTCTAGATCACTACATAAAAATGTATGTACTTTGTATCAGACTGTAAACAGGCCTTTCTGTTCTAAGGTCTACTAGTTGTTAGCCTCTTTTGTTGAACCCTCTGAGTTCTTGCACTTGTGTAGTCTTCTCTTGATGAAAATCTCTGACACATCCATGCCTTCATCCAAGAGAGGACTCTTGATCCGTACGACAGTTAATGATACCTTTTCGTTACAACACAGTATTCTTCGGTCATTTATTACAGTAATCTTCAGTGCAGTACCAGGTCTTATGGTATTTCTATGGTCAGCAATCTGTTCTTGCTTGTTAACATTGTAACAAACAGTTGAATTTTACCCACGAAAAGTATTGGAAACATCTGTGACTGATTTATTCAGATTGTTTGGAATCGTAATGAATTGCTTTGCTGGCATTAACACCTCTTCTGTCATCACGAAGAGAGACAACATCAGACTACATATGCAAATGTTACAACTGGCCGCAAAACTCCTGAATTGCCAGTAAACTATTAGTATAGTAATAGTTTATAGTAATCTTTTATAGTTGTAGTATTTACTACAAATAGTAAACTTTTATATAAAAATACAGCAATTCCAACACGGTTTACTCGATATGAATGTAAATACAATAAAATTTAAGCTAAAAGTCTAAACTTTGACTTCATGGGTATTATTTTAGTTTAAATCCAAAGGGCTGAAGCACTGACCCAAAACAACTAGTAGAATGTCAGTGCCCAAATTATTATGGACTGTATTAGTGTATTTAAGCACATATACTAAAGCAAAGAAAATACGAAGTAATAAATACTGCAGCAGGCATGCTGTCCCACAAAACGCCGAGAAATAACACCCTCAGCTGTTTTCCCTTAAATGTAAATGAAACCCTCACCTTCTATACCCTAACTGTATATGACATCCCTCACCTGCTCTAAACTGTAAATGACATCCTCGCCTACTCTACCTTAACTGTATATGACATCCCTCACCTGCTCTAAAGTAACTGTAAATGACATCCTCGCCTGCTCTACCCTAACTGTATATGACATCCCTCACCTGCTCTAAAGTAACTGTAAATGACATCCTCGCCTGCTCTACCCTAACTGTAAATAACACCGTCACCTGATCTCACGTACTTGCTGGAAGGTGAGGACGTCACCAGAACCGCCGTGACCCCGCTGGTTGTCGTGGTTGTCGACGAAGACGAGAGCATTGTCGGAGGGCGCCATCCCCCACCCTGGGTCGTAGATGTTGGCCAACTGACTGAAGTCGTTAATACCCCAGGCGATCTTGGAGCAGAACCTGAATTCTGTGGTGCGTCCTATAATACCAAGTGGGGTTTAGAGAGAGAGAGAGAGAGAGAGAGAGAGAGAGAGAGAGAGAGAGAGAGAGAGAGAGAGAGAGAGAGAGAGAGAGAGAGAGAGAGAGAGAGAGAGAGAGAGAGAGAGAGAGAGAGAGAGAGAGAGAGAGAGAGAGAGAGAGAGAGAGAGAGAGAGAGAGAGAGAGAGAGAGAGAGAGAGAGAGAGAGAGAGAGAGAGAGAGAGAGAGAGAGAGAGAGAGAGAGAGAGAGAGAGAGAGAGAGAGAGAGAGAGAGAGAGAGAGAGAGAGAGAGAGAGAGAGAGAGAGAGAGAGAGAGAGAGAGAGAGAGAGAGAGAGAGAGAGAGAGAGAGAGAGAGAGAGAGAGAGAGAGAGAGAGAGAGAGAGAGAGAGAGAGAGAGAGAGAGAGAGAGAGAGAGAGAGAGAGAGAGAGAGAGAGAGAGAGAGAGAGAGAGAGAGAGAGAGAGAGAGAGAGAGAGAGAGAGAGAGAGAGAGAGAGAGAGAGACTGGGGTGGGAGATGTGAGAAATTTCTCCACCGCGCCCTCCCACAATCATTCCTTACACTTTAAGACACGGAAGTGAGCCCTGGGAGGAGATTGATTACCAATAGGGACCCATTCTGGATAGCAATATTGTACATTGATGGAAGCAGAAACATATATATATATATATATATATATATATATATATATATATATATATATATATATATATATATATATATATAAATACAATACACGCCAGTATTAAATACATAATACTGCGTGTAAAATTGATCGTAAGCTGAAAAAAAAACAGTTAAAAGAGTAATGGTATCTGGAATTGAAAACGATTAGCTAAACAGTTAAGATAATTATCGCGAAGCCGAGAATATTGACCATAAAACTGAACATTGATCAGAAGTTTTTCATACAGCTTATTATGCATGAATATGGATGAGGAAATTGGTAAATGTATTTAGTAAATAAATATTAATTAAAATAACATTATTTACTGATTGATTTCAACAACAAAATAAATCTTTCTCTTGATTAATGAAGAAAGAGTAAAGAGAAGGCAATTTTGTAATACTGGTGTCAGCACTAGTTGGTGTTAGCAACAACTGGTGTCAGCAACAACTGGTGTTAGCAACAACTGGTGTCAGCAACAACTGGTGTTAGCAACAACTGGTGTCAGCAACAACTGGTGTCAGCAACAACTGGTGTTAGCAACAACTGGTGTCAGCAACAACTGGTGTTAGCAACAACTGGTGTTAGCAACAACTGGTGTCAGCAACAACTGGTGTCAGCAACAACTGGTGTTAGCAACAACTGGTGTTAGCAACAACTGGTGTCAGCAACAACTGGTGTCAGTAACAACTGGTGTTAGCAACAACTGGTGTTAGCCACAACTGGTGTCAGCAACAACTGGTGTCAGCAACAACTGGTGTTAGCAACAACTGGTGTCAGCAACAACTGGTGTCAGCAACAACTGGTGTTAGCAACAACTGGTGTTAGCAACAACTGGTGTTAGCAACAACTGGTGTCAGCAACAACTGGTGTCAGTAACAACTGGTGTCAGCAACAACTGGTGTCAGCAACAACTGGTGTCAGTAACAACTGGTGTTAGCAACAACTGGTGTTAGCAACAACTGGTGTTAGCAACAACTGGTGTCAGCAACAACTGGTGTTAGCAACAACTGGTGTTAGCAACAACTGGTGTTAGCAACAACTGGTGTTAGCAACAACTGGTGTCAGCAACAACTGGTGTCAGCAACAACTGGTGTTAGCAACAACTGGTGTTAGCAACAACTGGTGTCAGCAACAACTGGTGTCAGCAACAACTGGTGTTAGCAACAACTGGTGTCAGTAACAACTGGTATCAGCAACAACTGGTGTCAGCAACAACTGGTGTTAGCAACAACTGGTGTTAGCAACAACTGGTGTCAGTAACAACTGGTGTTAGCAACAACTGGTGTCAGCAACAACTGGTGTTAGCAACAACTGGTGTCAGCAACAACTGGTGTCAGCAGCTACTGGTGTTAGGAACAACTGGTGTCAGTAACAACTGGTGTCAGCAACAACTGGTGTCAGTAACAACGGGTGTCAGCAACAACTGGTGTTAGCAACAACTGGTGTCAGTAACAACTGGTGTCAGCAACAACTGGTGTTAGCAACAACTGGTGTCAGCAACTACTGGTGTTAGCAACAACTGGTGTCAGTAACAACTGGTGTCAGCAACAACTGGTGTTAGTAACAACAGGTGTCAGCAACAACTGGTGTTAGTAACAACAGGTGTCAGAAACCACTGGTGTTAGCAAAAACTGGTGTCAATAACAACTGGTGTTAGCAACAACTGGTGTTAGCAACAACTGGTGTCAGCAACAACTGGTGTCAGCAACAACTGGTGTTAGTAACAACAGGTGTCAGCAACAACTGGTGTTAGCAAAAACTGGTGTCAATAACAACTGGTGTTAGCAACAACTGGTGTTAGTAATAACAGGTGTCAGCAACAACTGGTGTTAGTAACAACTGGTGTCAATAACAACTGGTGTCAGCAGCTACTGGTGTTAGCAACAACTGGTGTCAGTAACAACTGGTGTCAGCAACAACTGGTGTCAGTAACAACTGGTGTTAGCAACAACTGGTGTCAGTAACAACTGGTGTCAGCAACAACTGGTGTCAGTAACAACTGGTGTCAGCAACAACTGGTGTCAGCAACAACTGGTGTTAGCAAAAACTGGTGTCAATAACAACTGGTGTTAGCAACAACTGGTGTTAGCAACAACTGGTGTTAGCAACAACTGGTGTCAGCAACAACTGGTGTTAGCAACAACTGGTGTCAGCAACAACTGGTGTCAGCAACAACTGGTGTCAGTAACAACTGGTGTCAGCAACAACTGGTGTCAGTAACAACTGGTGTTAGCAACAACTGGTGTCAGTAACAACTGGTGTCAGCAACAATTGGTGTCAGCAACAACTGGTGTCAGCAACAACTGGTGCCAGTAACAACTGGTGTTAGCAACAACTGGTGTTAGTAACAACAGGTGTCAGCAACAACTGGTGTTAGTAACAACAGGTGTCAGAAACCACTGGTGTTAGCAAAAACTGGTGTCAATAACAACTGGTGTTAGAAATAACTGGTGTCAATAACAACTGGTGTCAGCAGCTACTGGTGTTAGCAACAACTGGTGTCAGTAACAACTGGTGTCAGCAACAACTGGTGTCAGTAACAACTGGTGTCAGCAACAACTGGTGTCAGCAACAACTGGTGTTAGCAAAAACTGGTGTCAATAACAACTGGTGTTAGCAACAACTGGTGTTAGCAACAACTGGTGTTAGCAACAACTGGTGTCAGCAACAACTGGTGTTAGCAACAACTGGTGTCAGCAACAACTGGTGTCAGCAACAACTGGTGTCAGTAACAACTGGTGTCAGCAACAACTGGTGTCAGTAACAACTGGTGTTAGCAACAACTGGTGTCAGTAACAACTGGTGTCAGCAACAATTGGTGTCAGCAACAACTGGTGTCAGCAACAACTGGTGCCAGTAACAACTGGTGTTAGCAACAACTGGTGTCAGTAACAACTGGTGTCAGCAACAACTGGTGTTAGTAACAACAGGTGTCAGCAACAACTGGTGTTAGCAACAACTGGTGTCAGCAACAACTGGTGTTAGCAACAACTCGTGTCAGCAACAACTGGTGTCAGTAACAACTGGTATTAGCAACAACTGGTGTCAGTAACAACTGGTGTCAGCAACAACTGGTGTTAGCAACAACTGGTGTTAGCAAGAACTGGTGTCAGCAACAACTGGTGTCAGCAACAACTGGTGTCAGCAACAACTGGTGTTAGCAACAACTGGTGTTAGCAACAACTGGTGTCAGCAACAACTGGTGTCAGCAACAACTGGTATTAGCAACAACTGGTGTCAGCAACAACTGGTGTTAGCAACAACTGGTGTCAGCAACAACTGGTGTCAGCAACAACTGGTGTCAGCAACAACTGGTGTCAGCAACAACTGGTGTCAGCAACAACTGGTGTTAGCAACAACTGGTGTCAGCAACAACTGGTGTTAGCAAAAACTGGTGTCAATAACAACTGGTGTTAGCAACAACTGGTGTCAGCAACAACTGGTGTTAGCAACAACTGGTGTCAGCAACAACTGGTGTTAGCAACAACTCGTGTCAGCAACAACTGGTGTCAGTAACAACTGGTATTAGCAACAACTGGTGTCAGTAACAACTGGTGTCAGCAACAACTGGTGTTAGCAACAACTGGTGTCAGCAACAACTGGTGTCAGCAACAACTGGTGTCAGTAACAACTGGTATTAGCAACAACTGGTGTCAGTAACAACTGGTGTCAGCAACAATTGGTGTCAGTAACAACTGGTATTAGCAACAACTGGTGTCAGTAACAACTGGTGTCAGCAACAACTGGTGTTAGCAACAACTGGTGTTAGCAACAACTGGTGTTAGCAACAACTGGTGTTAGCAACAACTGGTGTCAGCAACAACTGGTGTCAGCAACAACTGGTGTTAGCAGCAACTGGTGTCAGTAACAACTGGTGTCAGTATCAACTGGTGTCAGTAACAACTGGTGTCAGCAACAACTGGTGTCAGCAACAACTGGTGTTAGCAAGAACTGGTGTTAGCAAGAACTGGTGTCAGTAACAACTGGTGTCAGCAACAACTGGTGTCAGCAACAACTGGTGTCAGTAACAACTGGTGTTAGCAATAACTGGTGTCAGCAACAACTGGTGTCAGCAACAACTGGTGTCAGTAACAACTGGTGTTAGCAAGAACTGGTGTCAGCAACAACTGGTGTCAGCAACAACTGGTGTTAGCAACAACTGGTGTCAGCAACAACTGGTGTTAGCAACAACTGGTGTCAGCAACAACTGGTGTTAGCAACAACTCGTGTCAGCAACAACTGGTGTCAGTAACAACTGGTATTAGCAACAACTGGTGTCAGTAACAACTGGTGTCAGCAACAACTGGTGTTAGCAACAACTGGTGTCAGCAACAACTGGTGTCAGCAACAACTGGTGTCAGTAACAACTGGTATTAGCAACAACTGGTGTCAGTAACAACTGGTGTCAGCAACAATTGGTGTCAGTAACAACTGGTATTAGCAACAACTGGTGTCAGTAACAACTGGTGTCAGCAACAACTGGTGTTAGCAACAACTGGTGTTAGCAACAACTGGTGTTAGCAACAACTGGTGTTAGCAACAACTGGTGTCAGCAACAACTGGTGTCAGCAACAACTGGTGTTAGCAGCAACTGGTGTCAGTAACAACTGGTGTCAGTATCAACTGGTGTCAGTAACAACTGGTGTCAGCAACAACTGGTGTCAGCAACAACTGGTGTTAGCAAGAACTGGTGTTAGCAAGAACTGGTGTCAGTAACAACTGGTGTCAGCAACAACTGGTGTCAGCAACAACTGGTGTCAGTAACAACTGGTGTTAGCAATAACTGGTGTCAGCAACAACTGGTGTCAGCAACAACTGGTGTCAGTAACAACTGGTGTTAGCAAGAACTGGTGTCAGCAAGAACTGGTGTCAGCAACAACTGGTGTCAGCAACAACTGGTGTTAGCAACAACTGGTGTCAGCAACAACTGGTGTTAGCAACAACTGGTGTCAGCAACAACTGGTGTCAGCAACAACTGGTGTTAGCAATAACTGGTGTCAGTAACAGCTGGTGTCAGCAACAACTGGTGTCAGCAACAACTGGTGTTAGCAACAACTGGTGTCAGCAACAACTGGTGTTAGCAACAACTGGTGTCAGCAACAAGTGGTATCAACACCCACCAACACTGAAGTAGTCGGACACCTTGATGGGCTCTCCGCCTTGGTCGATCACCTCGTGGTAGAAGAAGGGACGCCGGCCACTGGGGAAGCCGGCGGCGGTGCTTAGGTCATTAGTCAACCCCTGGATGGCTTCCAGGTCCTGTAGGGGCAAAGTGCATCAGGTCATTAGTCAACCCCTGGATGCCTTCCAGGTCCTGTAGGGGCGAAGTGCATCAGGTCATTAGTCAACCCCTGGATGGCTTCCAGGTCCTGTAGGGGCAAAGTGCATCAGGTCATTAGTCAATCCCTGGATGCCTTCCAGGACCTGTAGGGGCAAAGTGCATCAGGTCATTAATCAACACCTGGCTTTCAGGTCCAGAATGGTTTCCAGGTCCTAATCGTAAAGGACAGGGGGTTTTAAGAAGACTTTGACAAAGCCGCCTACAGATATCCTAAGGACTTCTAACTCATTTGCTGTGTTGGAGGACGAGTGAGCCTGCAGTTCGTTTGAAAGGCAAAGCAACAAAGAGCAACGCGGAGCAGGTCCTCAAAAATTCAGAGAGTAAAGGAAGTACCTAAGCGAATTTTGGTTGTGGCAGATTCCAGGTGAAGTAGTTAGACAGAACTTTTTGTGCCAGAGATAGGGAAACCAGGTTAAGGATTTGCTATCCGGGAGCTGGAATTGGGGATATTATTAACAACATGAATGATATTATGGCTGGAAAGGGGAACAAACCCATTATTTGTAGTAGTGCAGGTGGAAATGATGTTGGACGAGTTAGGAGTGAGGCACTGATACAGAGGTTTGAGACAGCCATAGAATTAGATAGGAGCAAGGGAGGAATCCTGATCATATGTGGCATTCTTCCAAGAAAGGGAGTTGGAAATGAATAATTGTCGAGGGCACTTGGTGTCAATTGCCGGCTGGAAAAATATTACAACTTAAATGCAATATCATTCAAAGATAACTGGGAAGACTTCTATGGAAGAAATTATATGTATGCTCGGGATGGGGTGCATCTATTGAGGGCTGGGGTTGTTGTTGTTACGAACTCGTTGGAACCAGTCGTTGGAGGCGGTTGTTTGGGTTTGGGTTTAAACTGTTAGTAGACAGTGGTATGGGAATTGATATGGAGAAAGGAAGTAATAAAAGTATGTGTTTGTGGAGGAAACAAATTGGCAAAATGATCAGGAAAAGAGAAGGACCTCAAAATAACAATACACTTAGGGTATATTACATTAACAGTAGAAGTCTAAGAAACTTAATAAACGAATTAAATGCTCTTGTCTGCACAGAAAAAAATATTTATTATTGCACTTACCGAAACGTGGATGGATGTAGAAAACAGAGAACTATTAGCTGAATATCAAATAAATGGATTTTAACTAATTCACACAGATAGATATATTAGACGAGGAGGGGGAGTAGCAATATATGCTAGGGAAAATTTGAAATGTAGTCTCAAAGAGGGAATTAAAACTGAGCTACACACAGAAACTATTTGGATAGAATTAAACTAAAAAGCAAATAATCTTATAATAGGAGTTATATACAGCCACCGTACTTAGACATGATGGAAGCAAAGCATCTAAAGGATAAAATATCTAGAGCATCTAGGTCTAAAAGTATTTGTGTCATGGGTGATTTTAATTTTAGTGGAATAAACTGGTTGAGCAGAACTGGGAATAATGAAGCAGAAGATTTTCTATAATTAATTGACGATTGCTTTCTTACGCAACACATTAAGGAACCAACGCGGGGAAAAAATATTTTAACTTTGTCATCCTTTGCTGGACGCATTCTAGTGGTTTTGTATTCCAGAGTATGGCAACCAACTGAACTGATAATCTAAACATGGTAACGGGCAAAATATAGCTGAAGAGTAACTCCAGGTGTTTCATAACTAACGCTTTTAGAGATAAATATCTAGAGATAAATCCCAGTGTTCGATTTGAATTAATTTCGAACATCTATGTAAGGAACTGTTTGGCTTTAAATTCTCAATAATCATAACTCCCAGATCCCTTCCGCAATCGGACTTTGCAATCTCAACACTATCTTGCTCATATTCTGTAACTTTATCATCATTACTAGGCAGAAAACCTTGAAATTCGTCAGTATTAAACAGCATCTTCTAGTCTTTCGACCATTTCATATCGCTATTTAGATCGTCTTGAAGTGATACGGGAAAATTAATATTTTAAACTTGGTGTTAACAAACAGGGAAACACATGCTCCGTCTACTGCACGGTCTACTGCTCCATGCCAGCATAGTCTACCGCTCCGTGCCGGCATGGTCTACTGCTCCATGCCAGCATAGTCTACCGCTCCGTGCCGGCATGGTCTACTGCTCCATGCCAGCATAGTCTACCGCTCCGTGCCGGCAGGGTCTACTGCTCCGTGCCGGCAGGGTCTACTGCTCCGTGCTGGCAGGGTCTACTGCTCCGTGCCGGCAGGGTCAACTGTTCCGTGCCGATAGGTTCTACTCACCCCTGGCCACATGTGTTTGGAGGCATCCACTCTGAAGCCCATCACACCGATGTCGAGAAGGTCGTTGTAGTATTCAGAGATCTTTTGCCTGACGTAGTCCTTCCCGCCGTACAGGTCAGTCAAGCCCACCAGGTAGCAGTTCCTCACCTCGTTAGCGTCGTTGTAGTTGTTGACATTACCTGATCAGGCAAAGTAACTATAATGTACAATAGTAATGAGTGTGACGTTGTATACTTTGACTTTAGCAAAGCATTGATTCTGTGTCATATGAAGGATATTAGAAAAGAAGAGGCTCACGGTATTGGTGGTGGTGTCTTAAGTTGGACTAGGGCATGGTTGTTCCAAAGGAAACAAAGAGTTTCAAGTGTGGAAACAAACAAAGGAAACAATTGTGGATGAATGTAAAAATGAAGATAAGTCAAAGTGAGAAATTGTTGTTAGTGGAGTGCCTCAAGGCACTGCTCTGGGACCTATATTGTTTACGATACAAATGAAAGATTTTGATTCAAGATTGATCAGCATCATTTGCAGATTTGCAGACGATACGAAATTTCAGTGGGAAATATATTCAGAAGACTCAAAATCACTGCAAGAAAGTCCACTTCCAATCCGAAAGTCCTCTTGGAATCTGAAAGTCCACTTGCAATCTCAAAGTCCACTTCATCTGAAAGTCAATTAAAATTAAGACCGATTTGCTTATTTTCTAAGTAAACGAATTAAAGTTACAAATAACAATTGCTTTCATTCTTTTGTAAATGACTGAGCAGGTCGCCTGTAAATTATGTCTAGATGTACTTAACTTACGCTTGGTATGGTCTAATGTTTCCGAGTATAATGTATTACTTGGACAATGTTCCGTAAATTACAAACCTATTTCAAACCAGTAATTTTTCATAATTAACATTCAGTGGCCCTCCTGGTGATCCCTTCATCATTTTGTATATTTCGGTCAGGTACCAACTTCACTCTTCACCTTCCAAGTTAGTGTAATTTAATCTTTCTAAATTTCTTCTCATGAGGAAAGATATCAGTTATCAGGAGTAATTGTGTCGTCCCTGTGTTTGTGCACCCTGTGTTCACAAACTCTAAGGAAAGTATGTCCAGTCTGTAGATGGTTGCATGTAACGAAAGTGAATAATGTATAAGGGGGGGGTCTAATAAGGGCAAGACAAAGCTAAAGACATTAAATGGCTTACTGATAATGCTTGTAGCTAGGAATTCCAGTATCATCTATATCAATTATACACAAATTGTTTTGTATTCCTTAGTATTTTTTTCTCTTCAAGATTTTGTAATTTCATTGATGATTTGCAGATCTCCGGTAATTGTATTATATTTACTACACTCAGAATCCAGTAGCTGCCCTTTTTTGGAGGCTGTCTTTGTTAGGATTGTTTCCATTTGGAAACATTCTTTGTCAAATGTATACTAATTTGAACACTCTTTTAGGAGAATAGCTCATTTGAAAACAGGTTTGAATTGAATCTGCACATTTGCAGACGAGCAAAGTTGAAAGTGAACACAAATAATGACAGTCTTCTTTAGGCTACCATATTTTTAGAGACTTTTTCTTCGGAAGAATCATTTAGAAACAATCTATGTCAAAACTTTAACCATTTCCTGGCGGTATTTTTTATAGGATGTACCAATTTAGTACTTCAGAGTTCAGTCTGACACAACTGCCATCTGATGGCTGTTTTCAAATTATCTCTAAGAAAGATATTCAGAATTGTTAAGGTCTCCAAATGAAAACATTTAATGGAAATTATTTCCAAATTGCATATAGTTCAAAAGGAAAATGTCTTCAACTAGATATTGTCTGCGAAGGCTGCTGGATGTTGTCTATGAAGGCTGCTGGATGTTGTCTATGAAGGCTGCTGGATGTTGTCTATGAAATGTCAACATCTACCACAAGAAAATATAACTGGGCAGTTTACCACACTTAGAAACATCAGTAATACTGATAAATTACAGAGTGAGAGAGAGATATTCACCATCGGACGAGGGGCACAGGTCCCGGGGAGTGAAGTCGAGGTTGGAGTAGGGCACGCCGGGGAAGTCCAGGTTGTCAGCGTTGAAGGAGGAGCCGCCGGAGCCCTGGCCAGACCTCCCGAGACCCGTCATGTGGTTGACCACGGCATCCACGATTATTCTGTGGGAGATGAGTCCTCAGCGCCACTGTCACAAAGGACACACACACACGTGCCCACTGTCTGTACTTCACTCTCACTAGCATACTGTTATCACTACATCTCTTACAGAATACCCTTATTCCCATAACTCTCATCATCCCGCCAGTCATACACTCCTGGCACTCCGCACCACATGAATGATATTAATATTACTTGTTTCTCTCTTATTACCTTGCCGGCCTGTCGCTCTCACACCATAACACCCCTGTCACTCTGCCCGTTTATAGTCTGCTATGCTATAGTTTGCTATAGTGTATAGTAAAATCCTGTCAGCCTGCCTTCTTCCAGACATACAAGCGTGCCCTTACTCAGATGAAAATGCAATGTGACCCCCCTGCCTTCAGCCAAACTATTCATATCATACAATGGTGTTTCCCTAACTCTCTCCAGTCATATTAACACTTCTATTCTGCCTACAGTCAATTTAATCTTACAAGCATACTAACCTTCCCCCCAAACCTGCCTTCCAACAAGTATACTAACCAGCCTCCCTAAAAGATTACTAACCAGCCTCCTTACAACCTTACTAATCAGCATCCCTACAAGTATACTAACCTGCCTCCCTACATGCATACTAAATAGCCTCTCTACATGCATACTAAATAGCCCCCCCTCCTGCAAGCATATTAACCTGTCCCCCTACAAGCATACTAACCTGTCCCCCTATAAGCATACTAACCAGCCTCCCTACAACAAGAATACTAACCAACCAGCCTACCTAAAAGCATACTAACCTGCTTCACTAAAAGCATAATAACCAGCCTCCCTAAAAACATTAAATAACCTCCGTAAAAGTATATTAACCAGCCTCCCTAAAACCATACTAACCTGCTTCTCTACAAACATCCTAACCTTTCTTCAAACAAGCACACTAACTGCCTTCCTACAAGCATCCGAACCAGCCTCCCTACTGACCTAAAACCATTTTATTATACTTCATCTCCTATTTTTTCATGTCCTTCCTGCCTTCAGTGTTATTATTTTCCTTGCCTATAATCATTCCCTTGTTATCTCCCTTCGATCATACTGCCCTGTTACCATGCCTAATTCCACTCATACTCCGCTGTTACCATGTTTCATACTAATCATAATAACTTTTCTCTCTGCATTACTTCATGTATTTCTACATTCTTTCCGTCTTACCTTCCTTGATATCTTGTCATACTGCTTTCCTCTAGTGCTACTAACCTCATTACCTTCAGTCACATAGCCCTCCTCCCTCCCTTCCTCCCTCCAGTCCAACCCATCCTGCTGATAAGATAATACTCTTTTTTTCTTAACTATGTGTGACGATCGAACTGATATCGACGTGATGACAAACAGAAAGTATAATATGGTACTATCCATTTTATAGTCGGAAAAAATTTAGCTAAAATCCAACAAATATTCATAAGCCTAGTATAGCAGACACATGCACAGTATTATATTTGGCCTCATATAGCCAGGATTAGGCCTAGGATGGTAAGGTTAGGTGTCATTACCAACATAAATAAAAAAACAATTACTGTTTGTCCAAATTCAGCAATACAAAATTCCACTTTATGTTGGTCCATCAAGTCCATATTTGTTCGATCGATCACATCGTTACTATAAGTACTTTCATTTTAGGAAAATGGGCTGCTGAATGTGCGGCATTGTGTCTGTCACACTCAAGTCATACTACCTTGTCATCCTGCTTCCCACCAATCATACTACCCTGCCACTCTGTCTCAGGTATGTCAAATTACATGCCTCGCTCCTATCATACTACAGTGTCACCCTGTCTCACTCCAATCATATTACTCGACCTCATTTTGAACCTCTATCTAGTCATACGACCTGCTTTCATTATATCATGCGATTGTACGACAATGGTTATGTACTGATACACTGCCTTACTACCTGTCCTTCTAGTCCTATCACGCTGCCACCCTTCCCACTAATTATATTAACCTCCCTCCCACTAATATTTGTTTCTGTTCAACGTTTCTTTCCTAAAACCATACCTCTCTGCAACTTTGTCTTCCTGCAATCATGGATCATTCCTCCCTTCAACCGTTTAATCACACTACCCAGTCACTTGATTTGCTTTAGTAATCTATTCTTCCACCTTGCTATCTTAAGATCATACAATCCTTCCCCTTACTATCTTGAGATCAACCTATCCTTTCCCTTACTATCATGAGATCATTCTATCCTTTCCCTTACTATCTTGAGATCATGCTATCCTTTCCCTTACTATCATGAGATCATTCTATCCTTCCCCTTACTATCTTGAGATCATACTATCCTTCCACCATGCTTTATTAAGATAATACTATCCTTCCCCTTACTATATTGTGATCATACTATCTTGAAATCATACTATCCTTCCACCTTGCTATCTTAAAATCATACTATCCTTCCCCTTTACTACCTTCAGATCATCCTACCCTTCCGCCTTGCTATCTTAAGACCATACTATCTTTCCCCCTTACTACCTTGAGATAATTCTATCCTTCCCCTTACTATCTTAAGATCAAACTATCTTAAGAGTAGTCATTTCTCCCACCTGGTAACCTTAAGGTCATACTATTCTTCCACACTGCAATCTTAAGAACATAATATCCTTCCATCATGGTATCTAACGATCATACCATCCTTCCATCGTGCTATCTTAAGATCATACTACCCTGTCAACCCTAATCCGCCAGTCATACTCACTTAGCACCATGCTGTAGTACTACCATAATACATGACAATCATGCAGGATTGCACTACTGCTACAAAACTACCATGTTATCCTGCCTTCCTTGAAACCCTGCAAATCTTCAATCATAGTTCCTGGCAACCCTGTCTTTCTTGAGTCATACTATCCTGCTGCAAAACTCCCTTCCAATCACACAACTGTGTTCAGTTGTGTCTCTGCAATTAGCATTCTGTGCAACTCTACCTGCATCTTATCATACAACCCCTGCCACCCTACTTACATCTTATCCCACAACCTCTGCCACCCTCCCTTCATCTTATAATACAACCCCTGCCACCCAACTTACATCTTATCCCACAACCTCTGCCACCCTCCCTTCATCTTATCATACAACCCCTGCCACCCTACTTACATCTTATCCCACAACCTCTGCCACCCTCCCTTCATCTTATCATACAACCCCTGCCACCCTACTTACATCTTATCCCACAACCTCTGCCACCCTCCCTTCATCTTATCATACAACCTCTCCCACCCTACCTACATTTCATTATAGATCTGCTGCCACTTCAAGTTCAGCTTTCATGCCTTCCTATACCAATTCCTGCTACTATGCTGCCTCTGGTAAGCTGCTTGCCTTCATTATATATTCACTCTTTATATGGCGAGTGTGTCGTCACTGCTCTCATTCTCCCAACATGTCTACCATAGTGTGTGGTGTTGCCCGGGCGGCGGCCTCACCTGACCCCGACGGCGTTACAACGCTGTACCATGTCAATGAACTCCTGTCTGTTGCCCGAGCGGGAGTCGAGCTTGTATGAGACGGGCTGGTAGCGCTGCCACCAAGGGTACCCACTCTCCCCAATGACGGCGTGTTCCATGGGTGGGGATACCTGCACGAACACCCATCTCTTCATTACAACACCTGTATACTCGTAGTTAGTATATAATATATTTAAGCAAGAGTTACTAAGTAAACCTGTCACTCACATAAAATTGTACGAGTGACAGGTAATTTCATGTGTGTCTAAATCTGTCTTATGGTTGTTTAACTTAACCTAAGCTGGTTTAGTTTACCGATTTAAAGATAGTCTAGAATCGTAGTTTCATATTTGTCCCCTTATATTATGTTCTTGTGAGAGAGAGAGAGAGAGAGAGAGAGAGAGAGAGAGAGAGAGAGAGAGAGAGAGAGAGAGAGAGAGAGAGAGAGAGAGAGAGAGAGAGAGAGAGAGAGAGAGAGAGAGAGAGAGAGAGAGAGAGAGAGAGAGAGAGGAGGAGAGAGAGAGAGAGAGAGAGAGAGAGAGAGAGAGAGAGAGAGAGAGAGAGAGACAGAGAGAGAGAGAAGAGAGAGAGAGAGAGAGAGAGAGAGAGAGAGAGAGAGAGAGAGAGAGAGAGAGAGAGAGAGAGAGAGAGAGAGAGAGAGAGAGAGAGAGAGAGAGAGAGAGAGAGAGAGAGAGAGAGAGAGAGAGAGAGAGAGAGAGAGAGAGAGAGAGAAGAGAGAGAGAGAGAGAGAGAGAGAGAGAGAGAGAGAGAGAGAGAGAGACAGAGACGGAGAGAGAGAGAGAGAGAGAGAGAGAGAGAGAGAGAGAGAGAGAGAGAGAGAGAGAGAGAGAGAGAGAGAGAGAGGGAGAGAGAGAGAGAGAGAGTATTTGTGTTCCTCACGTGTGCCCCAAAGAATGAGGTGATTTGATAAAATATCATGCCCAAGATTAACAACCGAGTGCCGGCGGGGGAATGGAAATAGCCTCGGCTACCATCCTCTTTTGTCAGGTCGTGTTGGTTGAGTGGTTATTGTTTCCTGTACGCCAGAATGCAGAGTCCTCCTGGCAGTATGGGTTCGAGTCACTTCTGGGGTGTGAGTTTTCAGTGATATATATATCATAGTATATGTATATATATATATATATATATATATATATATATATATATATATATATATATATATATATATATATATATATATATGTACAACATATAGTGATATGTTGTACCTAGTAGCCAGAACGTCGTACTCGACTTGCTATGCAAGGCCCGATTTGCCTAATAAGCCAAGTTTTACTGAATTAATATATTTTCTCTAATTTTTTTTATGAAATGATAAAGCTACCCATTTCATTATGTATGAGGTCAATTTTTTTTTATTGTAGGTTAAATTAACGTAGATATATGACCGAACCTAACCAACCCTACCTAACCTAACCTAACCTATCTTTATAGGTTAGGTTAGGTTAGGTCGCCGAAAAAGTTAGGTTAGGTGGGTTAGGTAGTCGAAAAACAATTAATTCATGAAAACATGGCTTATTAGGCAAATCGGGCCTTGCATAGTAGGCTGAGAAGAAGGACCTTTTAGTCCTCTTATCTTCAGCCAAGTTACTGTGACTCATCGTCTTCAGCTGATGAATTCACAGTCTTGTTAGCACACTTCGAGCTTTTCCTTTTCACACATCAAATGATGTCGTTTCTACATCTTCTGATGCGAGAGTTTGGTCATCAAGTCATCAGCTCTTGTGCACTTCTGTGTCTACACAACTACAACCTGCTCTTGTGAGATGTATGCTCATAGTGAGGCTCACACCCCTCTTCACATTACTCCTATCGTGAGTTAACTGACTAACCTGAACAGCACAGAAGCCTGCGTCACCCAGGAACCTCTCGCACTCCAGGGCGATGTCCGTCCATTTCCACTCAAAGAGATGAACGATGGTCTGGCGGCCGTCGCAAGAGGGCGTGTCGTAGGCGCCGCTTGCCACCGACACCACCACCAACACCAGCCTGAAACACCATTACTTAATGTCAACCAGGACATAATTAATTACCGTTAACCAGGACATAAATAATTACCGTTAACCAGAATAAATAATTACCGTTAACCAGGACATAATAATTACCGTTAACCAGGACATAAATAATTACCGTCAACCAGGACATAAATAATTACCGTCAACCAGGACATAAATAATTATCGTCTAATAATTTAATCCTAGTTCTAATCCTACTGTCATGTAAACTATCATGTAATAGGAAGCATCCATAATAGGAAGCAATAATCCTATTGTCATGTTTACTGTCGCATGGATCCACCTGAAATGTTAACTTACATATAGATCCGACTCTCATGTAAACTAACATTCGGATCTTTCTGTCATTTGAACTGAGGAACGGATCCTACTGTCCTGTGAACTAACACAATGATCCATCTATCGTGTGATGGATGCTACACGTGGATCCAACTGTTATGTGAACTACCACTTTGATCTTACTGTCATGTGAACTACATACATAAATCATACTGTCATGTAAACTATTACTTAGATCATACTGCCATGTGAACTATTACATGGATCATACTCTCAAGTGAACTTTGAACTATTGGTTCCTACTCTCATGTGATGCCACGTAACGTTACTTATGTCACAAAACGAAGACAAATTCGTGTGAAGTAACCCATTGGTCCACCTGTCACCTGAACTACCACAAGAACCCAGACGATGTTTGGAAGGAGGAAGGAGTCTAATGTGTCGTGAAATAATATACTGATCATCATGGCATGTAAAAGTGTGGCAGCCACATACACGTGACTCATTCTACAGGACGCATTACACAGTATCAGTCTACATGAGGCCACTACACACACGTGACTCTTCCTGCAGGACGCAGTATCAGTCTACATGAGGCCACTACACACACGTGACTCTCCCTGCAGGACGCAGTATCAGTCTACATGAGGCCACTACACACACGTGACTCTCCCTGCAGAACGCAGTATACGGTATCAGTCTACCACCTGTTGAGTGTCCCAGACACTTAGAGGTTATAAAATGATAACCAGACTCCTGCTGATAACTAATGTTCTGCAATTATCAGAGTAATAACAATAATTATAATAAAAGTAAAATCTATATAAATAAAAATGGAAATGTTCGTTTGTTCAAAATCGCTAATCTCCGGAAGTTCTTCACCAATTGCTTTGAAATTTTGACACAACGTTGCATTCGAATAGGCGCGTCTTTCTATATATCTACTATATAGATGCCACCCCTGTGACAGATAAAAACATGCGTTTTTGAAAAACAGGGCCATCTGTTGCACATAATGGCAACATGCTAGCTATACTAAATGTCACGAATTCCATTTCAATGTTTCCGATTGCATTGTAAAATTTTATTTTCATAGATTTCGATTTAATTAACTTTTATTGAATTATTTTATGTGACATTGTGTTGAAATTGAGCTGTGTTGTTTACCATACCGTTCATTTCATAAGTATAAATATCGATGCCACACCTGTGCAGGTAAAACTATGCTTTTCTTGAAAAACAGCGCCATCTGTTGCATGTAAGAGCAACACACATGCTATACTAGATATGTTACAATTCCATTTCAATGTTTCTGGTTGCATTGATAAATTGAATTTTCATAGATTTTGATTTATTTTCATTTTGATTTAATTATTTTGTGTGAATTGCATTGGAATTGAGCTGTGTTGTTTATCTGACCGTTCATTTCGTGAGTATAGTTTATTTTCATATTTTTTTCTTATTTTCATATCATTTTTTAACTGTTTTTCTTATATTTCAGTGATGGGAACATCAGATCACTTGATGTTCACAATTTTCTGATGGGAACATCAGACCATTTGGGAAGGCATCGGACGAGGGAGTGGGGAATGGTGGGGATGACGAGGGAACGTAAGTGAGAGATTGTGGGGGAGGACGAGGGGACAAGGGAGGGGGGTAATGGTGAGGAAGGACGAGGGGACGGGGGAGTTTGGGATGGTGGAGTTGAGGGGAAAATGGTGGGGAGGACGAAGGGACGGTGGAGTCGGGAATGGTTGGGAGGCCATCAACCAGGCCATTGTTAAATATGACCGAAAAGGTAAGATTAATAATTCTAACACGAATTTTCTCAATATTTCTTGTTTCTTTTCACTGTCGATGGCAATTAAAAAATCAATTCTCCAAAATTGATTTTTGGAGAATTGAAGCAAAAAGAAGAATTCTTTTGATGAATTCACAAAAGAAGGGTACCACTAAAGACACCTTGCAAGCATCCACCTTTCATCTCGTGGTGTACTCCCACGAGATGAAAACTCGTGGGAGTACACCAAACCTCCCATGTTAAATCTTGGGAGTACATCAAACCTCCCATGATAAATCGTGGGAGTACACCAAACCTCCCATGTTAACACCTAGGAGTACACCAAACCTCCCATGATAAATCTTGGGAGTACACCAAACCTCCCATCATAACTCGTGGGAGTACACCAAACCTCCCATGAGAACTTGTGGGAGTACATCAAACCTCCCATGATAACTCGTGGGAGTACACCAAACCTCCCATGATAACTCGTGAGGGTACACCAAACCTCCCATGATAACTTGTGGGAGTACATCAAACCTCCCATGATTACTCGTGGGAGTACACCAAACCTCCCATGATAACTCGTGGGAGTACACCAAACCTCCCATGATAACTCGTGGGAGTACACCAAACCTCCCATGGGGAGTACACCATCAATACATTCGATATACCAATTACAGACGCTAAAAGGGGTGTCGACGAATACTTGCAGACTTCGTTATGCAAGCCCCTTGGGAATAGCTGCCAGCAGGCTTTAAGATTATGGCTCTTGAAGGAAAAAATAACCAGACTAATCCTCAACTGCTACGAAATATTGCACAGATAGAGCAAACTTTGCATTTGACAGCTTCACACACTTCACAGATGGATCAGTAGACCAGCAGGGACTAGAAATCGGAGCTGCAGTTAAGGCGGGAAACTGTAAAGAGTTGTAGACTCTCAAACGGGTGTTCAACTTTACAAAAAGAGATGCTAACCACTCAAAATGCTTTGGAACATACTCTTGCTTAACACCGACAACATGTTACCATACATATATTCGAGAACTGTCATTGAAACCTTGCAACAAGAACACATACGTGACAACATCCATCGGATCTGTCATAACATTAATGCAAACACTCAAACATCAAAGCCGTCGGGAACTGATCAACTGGGTGACAAGTCCTTTTAGAATAATAGGACTTGACATTGCAGACGAAGCTGCAAAACTTGCAACTAAGAGAAGAAATGTAGACATTTACATACCACGGAGTTTATCACAGATTTAGAAAGTAATTAGAAATAGAGCAATGCATAAGATGTACACTGACCACAACACAGCAGTTGCAACATTAGGATCTGCGGGTTGCTACAACAATTCAACCATCCACGAACCACATATTTTGATGAAAGGGAGCAGTAGAACAACAGAAGTACACTTACATCGCACCAGGCTTGGATACCCATGTGCATAGGAAATAGGCTTACAGGTTCCGGAAAATGAGAGGAAATGTCAGCACAGTGGAGAAATGCCCGAGAGACCACTGGAACATCATCTAACACAGCGCACAGTTACAAACCCAATAAAATTTCCATTTAGATTCAACAGAGCAGATGAAGTTGTTAAACACATGGGGCAAAATCATACTGAAGCGACCATACGAGTCATAAATACTCGTACTCCGCCCAAGTAAAACAGACACAAGAAACACTTCCAGTGTTTCCAGTGAAACACACGGGCCAGCCAGAGGCTTAGGGCCCGCGCAGGAATTTCCGGGAAAAAAAAATAATTGTCAGTACACTAAACCTTTTATGTTAACTCTTAGAATTAAACCAAACCTCCCATGGTAACTCTTGGGAGTACAATAATCTCCCATGTTAACATCTGGGAATACAGAAAACATTCCCGGGTAACACCTGGGAGATCAACAAACCTCCCATGTTAATATCTGGGAGTACACCAAATCTCCCATGTTAACACCTGGGATTACAACAAACCTCCCATGTTCACACCTGAGTACAATAAAACTCCCATGTCAACATCTGAGAGCACACGATACCTCCCATATTAATTTTTTTGCTAACATTCAACAAAATGTTTCACATTGTTACATTTAGTAAATGTTTCAAATGTTTTCCATATGGTAAGTGGTGGTTCACACGAGTGTCAGCATGAGGTAAGTGGTGGTTCACCAGAGTGTCAACATGAGGTAAGTGTTGGTTCACCAGAGTGTCAACATGAGGTAAGTGGTGGTTCACCAGAGTGTCAACATGAGGTAAGTGGTGGTTCACCAGAGTGTCAACATGAGGTAAGTGGTGGTTCACCAGAGTGTCAACATGAGGTAAGTGGTGGTTCACCAGAGTGTCAACATGAGGTAAGTGGTGGTTCACCAGAGTGTCAACATGAGGTAAGTGGTGGTTCACCAGAGTGTCAACATGAGGTAAGTGGTGGTTCACCAGAGTGTCAACATGAGGTAAGTGGTGGTTCACCAGAGTGTCAGCATGAGGTAAGTGGTGGTTCACCAGAGTGTCAGCATGAAGTAAGTGGTGGTTCACCAGAGTGTCAGCATGAGGTAAGTGGTAGCTCACCAGAGTGTCAGCATGAAGTAAGCGGTGGTTCACCAGAGTGTCAACATGAGGTAAGTGGTGGTTCACCAGAGTGTCAACATGAGGTAAGTGGTGGTTCACCAGAGTGTCAGCATGAGGTAAGTGGTGGTTCACCAGTGTCAGCATGAGGTAAGTGGTGGTTCACCAGAGTGTCAGCATGAGGTAAGTGGTAGCTCACCAGAGTGTCAGCATGAAGTAAGTGGTAGTTCACCAGAGTGTCAGCATGAGGTAAGTGGTAGCTCACCAGAGTGTCAGCATGAAGTAAGTGGTGGCTCACCAGAGAGCATGAGTAAAATGAGTAAAATGCTCTAAGTGTGCTAACA